ACAAAGTTTTTACTTGATCTAAAGGCAAAAATATTAATCACCTTAGAACTGGATTAATTTCCTATAATTTGGTTCTAAACTATTCATTTGAAACAATAACAAACTAGAAACAAAATGACACATAAGGGGATTTGAAAGTAAAAGATTAAGACAATTTTCGACACACGTGTTTTAAAAAAAATATGTCGTAGAAGCTAATATAGTTTACGGGATAATATAACCTCGTTTTTGAAAAAAAAAAACAACTAACGATATTTTGAAAGTAAAACGACGATATGCAAACTTTTTTTATTGTTAAAATTTTTGTGTTTCTATGAAGACATTTCAAAAGCAACTTTTACGTAGAATTTAATGTCTAAAGTATTTTAAAACTAATATTTTAATTAATTGTCAACCGAATAATCGATTTTTATAAGGAACGTCCTTTATATTTTTGTATAATTAAAATTACCTTCTTAAACATATAATAAACGTGACATTTTCCCGTGTTGAAATGAAACACATTGTACAAATTTTTTTGAAATGTTATATAGCGCTCTATGATGGTTTGTCTGGAACGAGAGATATTGGTTTTCGCAGTAATCACTGGTTCCGAATTAATTAACCAAAACTGGAATTCCAATTTTGTAAATTATTAAACCAACCACATAGGAACTTCTATCAGCTATGAATATTATTGCGGAATGTAACAAACACGTTACACTCAAACCGTAAAATGTACTTTAATGATATATAGGCTTTAGATAATAAACTATCCGGGTCCACTTTTAAATTCCACAAAATAGAGTGAGTGTCAATATACTATGAATGTAAATTGAGTACATCAACGTGGTGAAATTTTGTTGATTCACTAGGTCATTTTAAGCTGATGGTAAAATTAGTGAATTTATTACTGTTTATTGTTAATTGGGTAATGTTTAATTACTGTTTTACTTTGCTGTGCATAAAATATAAATTTTTATATAATATTTAGGATATGGAGCTATTTGTATACAATCGGGGGGTAAAGGGAGTAACGTAGTTTCTCAAAATTTAATTTTTCTTTGAGGGTTAGGTTATTTTATGGATATTTTACATTGGGATGAAGATATTGAGTTGGGGTTTCCCAATCTCTTATATATTTTGAGCTGTCTAGGAATCTCCCCCTAACCCAAAGTTAGGGATCGGTTAACCTTGAAGCCTTAATTAATTTTAAACATTTTATCGTTTCGCTTTAGAGAAAAAATCGAACCGAGGAAAAAAGAACACCCGAACAATCGAATGCATTTCCGGGCTTCCGGAACCGCCAAGCGATCCTAATCTTTCTCAGTAATGTGCTCGGCAAAAAGAGAAAAATACAGCGTCCCGTTTGTTTCGAGTAAAATATCGAATATGTTTCGTTGTGGAAAAATTCTATTTCCACCGAGACGCTCGTCGAAATTTGCTACGGAGAGATATATTAAAATACTTTTCTGTTTTCAATTTTAAATACGCCGAGAAAAGACGGCGAGTGAAATCCGGGGAAACATTTTTAACTTTCTGTGTATATATTTGTATATTTTATATACATATTATAATATTTAAGTATTGATTTCAAAGGATAATCATGGTTACAAAATTGCAGTATCAATTTGACGTAGACATCAGGGTCAGATATTAATTGATTTATCAAATTATTGATTTGTAACAATTCAATTAATGTAAAGCTAAAATTAGAAAATTAAAAAAATAAATTAAACTATTCATGCTAGGCAAACATAGAAGAAAAATTTAAATATCGTTTTTGGTTTCTCTCGAAAATGTCTAAATTACTTCTATTTTCATTAAATGCTGGTAATTATTTTGAAGATTCTATTTTTAAACCCCATTTTTAGAGAAATCGTCTTATATTACAGGAAGCTAAAAATGACACCGTTTAAAGTAGGAAAAAGTTTTTTTTTCTACTCCCATCTGTAATATACCTAATTAGGCACCGATCTAGCGTGCGGGAAGCGTTATTTTACCACGTCAGTTTCGTTTCCCACGAATCCTAGCCACTTCGGACATTTCCGGAATTTTACCGCACGGGAGCAATCGGATGTTTTCGGAGATATTTCCCAAGCTTTGAATTTTGACGTTTGTCAATTCTGACAGTCATGTCAGTGAATGCATTCGTGAAAATGTTCGCAAAAACTAACGGTCGTAGAAAAAGTATAGTATGCAACACGTTCGGTAAACTTTTTAACTCACTCGTTTATTAAAAACTCGCTCCACTCGAGTCAAATGCCGCTTACCGCACTTGTTGCATAATATACTATTTTGGTTTGGTTTTTGCTCTATCGTTTGAAGGAAATTTATGCATGCAATGCATTTCATCAAACTTGAAGTTGCTGCCCCAGCAGTCGAATTTTTGGGAATAGGTATTTTAGTGTGAGTCTGATTTATTTTACACAACATTTTTAATATTTTTAAACTGCTTTCTATTTTTACAGCGAAGATAGCCTCTTAACAACAAAACTAAATGATGAACTCTCTCTAATTGGTTTAAATGTCCAAAGTTTAAAAAACAACGTAAATCTAATCAATTTATTTAGTCCCCTGCTTGGCTTAGCACTGGCTCAAAGATATACAACTTAAAAATATTCACATAGACGAATATGCTCGGGTCTCTGGGTTCAGCAGGAACAATCATGGGCAAGAGGGGGGGGGCTAATATATGTGAGTGATATTTAAGTCAGATCTTGTTCAGAAATAAAATCGGTAAAAATGTTTTCTATTAGCCAGTAATAGAATGCTTGATCATCAGTTATAAAAAGGATGTCTGCATTCTGTAATAGATCACCTTGCACAAACAATTGTGAGGCGTTTCTATTTGCACTGGATCAGTTAATACAAAAAAACTTTCAAAGATGTTGCTTTGCGGCGACCTTAACATAAATATGCTTGAATCTAGCACAAAAAGTTAACATTTACAAGATATATTTTTGTCGTATAATTTAAATTCGATAATTAACGAACATCTTGGGACAAACGAGCTCAACCTAGGTTGATTATATCGTCATAAACATAGACTACTGAAATGTCTCAGTCTTGGAAACAGGCTTCTCTAAACATTTGGCCCAAAGAAAATCCTGGGACCCTGGGAATACTAATACAGTTAATACAAAGACTACAATTCTAAAAAGATTAATTAACGACGGTACAATAAATGAATTCCGCTATTGTTTTAGTCTAGCTATTGTTCTGAGAACAGCTACAGCAGTGTTCTTTAGCTAGCCATCTAATTAAAAAAGTAGCAATTAAAGAAAATTCGTCAACGAATAAAATGAAAGTTACATTTTCTCGTGACTTACAAAATAAAAATAAATTACCTCTAAAATCTAAATTCCATTATGCAAAAAGTGTGGTAAACGGCATTTGAGTCACGAGCGGAGCGAGGGTTTAATAAACGAGTGACTTAAAAAGTTTACCAAACACGTTGCATACTATATTGTTTTTATGACCGTTAGTCTTTGGGTACATTTTTTCCAAACAACACGAATACATTCACTGACATGAGCGTCAGAATTGACAACCGTTCAAATTCAAACCGTGCGGTAATATCCCCGAAAACACCCGATTGCTCCCAAACTCATGCGGTAATATCCCGGGAATGTCCCCAGTGTCTTGGACCGTGAGAAACGAAACTGAAGTGGTAAACTAAAAAAAAAAAACAAAAGCTCTGGGAATTGGTTCGCGAGAAATTAATGAAAAGTTAATTATGGATCAACATAAAATAGCAAATCAATTCCGAAACTATTTTGTTAAACCAGTAAAAAAATAAAATAAAAACACTCTTCTTGAATACGTAAACATGTACGTTACAAAAAAAAACTAAAGTGTGATACATTTACGGTAAATGTAAAAATAGATATGAATGATGCGCTTTTTAAAAATTAAAACGTCAATAGGAGCAGATGAAATACCAACCAGGTTAATTCAAGAATCTTGCGACCTCTCGTTCCCTATATAACGGGTATTGTAAATAAATGTGTCACTGCAGACTCGTTCCCAAAAGTTGCGAAATGTTCTAAAATAACACTTGTTTTTAAAAAGAGTGCCATGAAACTTTTGGAAAACTACCGACCGATAGTCACAAGCAGTCCAATTGCAAAAGTTTTATGCAAAAAAAAAAGTTCTTTGACGATGAAAAAATAATAACTTAAGAGCAACCTGGTTTCCAAAAAAATATTTCATCTGAAACAGCAACAACAGAACTTTATGATAAAATTGATGATTAGAAGATGGTTGCTGGAATTTTCTGCAACGTATCCCAAGCGTTCGATGCGTTCAACCTCCTTTTTCTAAGAAAACCTAAAGCTTCGTGGAGTTAGGGGAACAATAAACCAATGTACAGAGTCCTATGTAACACAGAGGGTAAAAGTTAACAATTTTTATTCAGTTGAGCTTGGAACCCTACAGGGGGAGTATAGGGTCCCTTATTATTTAAAGCATAGCTAGCTGACCTCAAAGAATAACTGGATGGCGTAAAACCTTATCATTATGACGATACGACCGTCTTAATCCCGAGGAAAAAGCAACTTATATTAAACCCTGAAAATCAAATCAGTCCTTTGGACGGGTTAAGTGTCAAAATAGACCTAAATTCGTATACGAAATTTCTTGGTACATAAATAAACTGTCAATTAAAGCAGCCTAATCAAATAAACTGTGTATCAAAAAAACCTTATAGCTCTTATTTTGCTATTTTAATATTGAAATCTCCCTTAAATACCCCTTCTGTTTTAAATTTCATCAGTATATTCAATAATCTCTTACAATATCATAAGTTGGGAATCAATAAACTTCAAACCAGTGGAATCGCGCAGAGATGATCCTTCCCCCCACTTCTTAATTTTACAGTTCAGCTCATGACGATACAACCATAGCCTTACTTGTAATTTATAATTTGTTTCGTGTACAATTTGGTGCCCTGATGAAGATAAAGTCCTACTGCTAAGAAATGCAACATTTTTATGGATTTTCATTTTCGACTGACTCACCCGTTAAGGAGCATTTCGCTTCGGTTTTTAACCCAGTAGTTGATGGTGTTCGGAAATGCTTCTACGTAACATTCCAGCTGAACATCCGTGCTTAGTGGGGCACCCAGTAGTTGATTTGGCACTTTAATCGTCGGAGGAACTATAAAAAAAGACAGCTATTCAGCTATTAACTATTTATTTAGTGGCAATCTATATAAACTTTTCAAAATGTTTTTAATTTGGAAAACTAATAACTAGCAAAGTGAGTTTTAACATTAAAAATATAACTTTAAAAGTTATGTGTCGTAAGACAGTTTTGAAGTTTGTGCGCTCTATAAATTTTTAAATCTCACATAACAAATTTCAATAAAAATTAAATAAAAACCCTTTTATATAAAGTAACGAGACAATTGGAAGGATATAGCTACTATAAATATAGTTATTACATAGTTATAATAACTATTACTTATATAATATATAATAAAAAATATACATAATAAAATTTATATAAAAAAATTATATATAATAAAATATATTACATATATACTGGTTGAGTTGTTCTTGAGTTGAGGTTGTTGAGTAATAGCAAATTTCTGTAAATAGTTATGTTTTATTCAATGTTTCGATCACATTTCTATAGAATGTAAATATTTTAATTTACATAATATTAACACATATTTTAGATTCTTAATAAAGGTCCGCGTTATGACCGAAACATTGAATAAAACAATAAAAACAAACAAAACACAACCCAAGCATTAAATGAATTTTATGGTAAAGAATAAAAAGAAACTAATATACGAGGTGTGTTCAAAAAGTATCGCGAATTTTGAATTTTCGCGGGTTACGTATATTCGAATTTCGAATTTTTTGTGGCGTTATGTTGGTACTCATGTCTCTCATTTATGCCGACAAGCTCGGCCATTTTGAATGTTCATTTAATTGTTGACAGCTGCTTTGCTTGCACGTGTTTTGGATCGTCTTCGATTTTTACCTATTCAAAAAAATGGATCAAAGAACCTGTATCAAATTTTGTGTGAAAAACAAAATTAAGTGCGCGGATGCATTCCGAATGTTGACTGTGGCATACGGAGAAGCTACCTTGGACCGAAGCAACGTTTATCGGTGGTACAAAATGTTCTCAGAAGGCCGAGAAGATGTGAACGACAAAGAGCGTGCCGGACGCCCGAGCACTTCAACAACAGACGAAAAAATTAATGAAGTGGAGAAAATGGTATTGGCCAATCGTCGAATCACCGTTAGAGAAGTTGCTGCATTCGATTTTTGTCAATGATTTGGGCATGAGACGGGTCGCCGCGAAATTCGTACCAAAATTGCTCAATTGACCAAAAACAGCATCGCATGAACATTGCTAATGAGATGTTAAACTCTGTCCGCGACGACCCAAATTTGCTCCAGAGGGTCATAACTGGTGACAAATCGTGGGTTTATGGTTATGACGTGGAAACCAAAGCTCAATCATCTCAATGGAAGCTGCCGCACGAACCAAGACCGAAAAAAGCGCGCCAAGTTCGGTCGAATGTGAAAGTTTTGCTGACAGTTTTCTTCGATTGCAGGGGCGTGGTGCATCATGAGTTCTTGCCACAGGGAAGAACGGTCAATAAGGAATATTACCTGCAAGTTATGCGCAATTTGCGAGAAGCAATCCGCCAGAAACGCCCGGATTTGTGGAAGAACAAAAATTTTTCTTTTGCACCACGATAACGCCCCTGCTCACACATCGTTGCTTGTGGGCGACTTTTTGGCCAAAAACAACACACTAATGATGCGGCAGCCACCGTATTCCCCAGATCTGGCCCCCTGTGACTTTTTCTTGTTCCCTAAACTGAAGAGGCCCATGAAAGGACGACGTTACGCTTCTCTTGACGAGATAAAGACGACATCGAAGAAGGAGCTGAAGAAGATAAAAAAAATCATTTTTTGAAGTGCTTCGAAGATTGGAAAAACCGTTGGCACAAGTGTATAATATCTCATGGCGATTATTTTGAAGGGGGCAAAATAGATATTCATGAATAAATAAATAATTTTTGAAAAAACACAAAATTCGCGATACTTTTTGAACATACCTCGTATTTATAAGTACAGTTTCTATTATTCCAAATTGTCTCCTTATGTAGGTTGGTATAGTTGGGTTCTAAATACTCCCGAATAAGAATTATTTGCCGATTTATTTGTTTAAAAATCCTTAACAGTAAGGAAAAACTCTACTCTATTCTGGTAGTTAGGAGTGCGGAGGATTTCAGCAAATGTAAAATCATATGTTTAGGAAGTAAGGGTGTCCTTATTTCTATTAATAGGTATGATGCAGTAAATATCGCTGAGTAAAAAATCGGAATACGAAACTTACCAAGAAAAAAGTTACGGCTTATTAGAAGGAAGACAAAAATATAACATCTCCCGGACGAACTTGAAATCTTTTTATATATTTTCATTCAAAAATTTAATATCCTCCGTTTCGCTGAGCTTTCAATTAAGCGGAAATATTTGCCTATTATATTGTTCGAGACGCCGCGAATCCTAAGAATTTCATTTTTATAAGCGTATACAGAGAGGTCGACGAAAAATACCCACGTACGGAACTTTTTTTTTCAGAGACTTTTCATGTGAATATATCGCGTCGAAGTATTACGTTGGTACAGGGTGATTTATAAAAAACGAATAAATCTGTCCGAAGCTTGCTTAAGTTTTTGAATTTGATGATTGGTAAAAACCTCACTAGAAAACTACTGAGGCGCTTCAATATTTCCTACTCGATTTAAATTTAAGTATTTTTAAATTAAGGACACCAGTTTAAATTAAGAATTTCAATATGTTTGAAAAATGAATATTTTCAAGATATATTTTTCATTGCAGTAAATTTTTCGATTTTTATTCCTGAAATACAAATTTCACTTCACTTCATTTAAAACGTACTACTTTCTGTTTTAAACGACCCGATAATTAAATAAAATAAATATAAATAAGAACTAAAAGTTCATATTTTCACGAAATTATATATTTTGACATGACAATTGTTTCGACATCACCGTGTCTTCATCAAATCTAATATTTACAAACTACCTGCTACCATATATGGTATATATGAAAAATGACCATAAAACCTTAATTAGTGTTGTTGCGAGAATTTAAGTTCAATAAAATAGAGGTTTTTAAATCTAATTGATCGTTAAGCAATACATTTGAATGTGTCATTTTGTTACTCTCCATGGCTTCCAATAAATTTAATTTTCTACCCTTTGTGGCTGTATGTAAAATATCAAAATTGTCGTCAAAAATGTGTTTTTCTGTGTTTAAGTGTGTAGCATAATTAGAATCTAGACTATTGTTCTTAAACGCTCTTTTATGTTCGTTAATGCGTTTCTTAAAGGATCTATCTGTCTGTCCAATATAAATTTTAGGACAAGATCCGCATTTGAACCTGTAGACACCTGATTTTTGAGATTTTGGACAATTTGTTTAATTGTTTTTTAAAAATTTTCCTATTGTGTTGCTAGTTCTGAGAGCTATTTTTAAACCACATTTTGACAAATGTTTTGAAACTTTTTCGCTAGGTTCTCCTATATGTAATTGTTTTAAATTGTTCGTGTTCTGTATTAGGTTTCGGTTAAATATAGTTTACTGTTGTATGAATTGGTTTTTATTTATAATTTTATCTATAATGGACGAACCCAACTGGCAAAATCAGTGAAATGTCCGAAGTGGCTCGGATCCGTGGCAAGAAACGACACTGACGTTGTAAAATGACACTTTGAGCACGCCAGATCGGTGTATAATCTGGCGTTTTATCGAAGGGAGTAGAAAAAAATATTAAATCATGCATGTTTGCTAATTCCATATCACGTTATTTTCCATTTATTTATAGATGACGTTGCTTATCTTCCCTAATCTAAGACAAAAACAGCCTTGACGACCAACTCAAATCGTATAAACGCAATAACGTCGGTAAATAAAGGCATTATAAACTCCATATCGTTCCCATTAGGAAACAACTTTTCGAATTACTCGGAAAACTATTAAAAGTTTTGACAAAGCGCGACGGAGACTAAGGCGAATAGGTAAAGTTTTACTCTCTCCTTAATGACCTACGTAACTGTTTATTTTTGTTAACAACTTTAGGGGAGGCGAGGAAAAAAAAAGCAATGCGGAATACTACAGTTAAAAGAGTTTTCAACATTTATTTCGCTGAGAAATGCTTAACTACTTTTTCTATTGGCCTTTTAATACTTGCTTTCGAGCTTCCTGTAACCGTTTCGTTGTTTTATTGAACTATATTTCAATTAACGAGCGTTCTTAAGGTGGATAATGGATACGGGAAGGTCGAACGGCTTTTTTCCTTTTCTTTTCCTATTCGCGTCGTATTTGAGAGGAAAGTAACACACACACTTTTTCACTCGCACGTGACACATTTTCCACGACTGCAGAAAAGCAAAATTAAAATGTAATTATCATTGTTATTATTGTTATTATTATTTATTCAGTTATATGAAAATTTGACACAAAGGTATTATTAAATTTAAACGTCTTTTTCTACAAACGTTAAAAATTTGCGAACTCACTTATTTGTCATTTTGTCGCTATATACATCTAAAGAAACTTCCACAGGCTACTGTAATACTTTTTACAAAACTTCTGGATTCCTTCTGCGTCGGTTTTTGCTGAGTCTAATTTTCTGACGTTTCGCCACTGTTGGCTTCTTCAGAGCATGACTGAAACTGGCTCGTATTTTACTCTGTACCTGCTTATATATTGTTTGAGGGGGGCGGAGCTAAATGAGGGACATAAACACCATCTCGAATGACTGATTCCCATATTGGTGACAGGTAGAGACCTATGGACTCTCGGATTTTTCTTTGGTAGAAGAACTGAGTACATGCAAGAATGTTAGTTTTATCGGTCCGGTTTCATGAGTGTGTTCGGCGACAGCTGATGAGTTTATTTGTCTTAGCCGTAAGGCTCTTTCATGTTCTTTGATGATACTTTTATTTGATGTCATGGTCAAGAAACCCTAGTAGATTTTCTTAGACATTTAAACTCTATACACCTTAACATATGTTTTTTCCATTGAGTTGGAAACTAATAATAACCTTCCATTCTTAGATATTCTTGTCAATAGAAATAGACCTAACATTGGGTCATTGT